GTCATGCTTAGAAAGTTTAACCTTATTCCTGAAATGCCCAGAACTAAAATGTCAGTGTTCTTCGTATTAGCACTTGGTAAGTATAGGGAAGCCTTTGTTTAAAAGAAAAATCTTTGTTTTAGGATTCACTTAGCTTACTCTAAATTATTCGTGTTTTACTTTGACTTGAGTAGTTTGGTTTAGTTTCTAAAAAAAAAATCATTTTTCACATGAAATTTTCTACGACTTTTTCAAGTTTATTTTTTTGGGTACATGTAGCCTTTGTTTCACGAAAAATCTTTGTTTTAAGATTCATTTAGCTTACTCTAAATTATTGGTGTGTTACTTCGACTTGAGTGGTTTGGTTTAGTTTGTAAAAAAAAATCATTTTTCACATGAAATTTTCTACGAATTTTTCTGATTTATTTTTTTTCCCTATGGTGCTCTATTACTGCTTTAAGTGGATGTATAATTTTTTTCCAGGTGATGTCTATGGTTTGTATAGATCAGCTGTCTTTAAGATAGTGACAATACAACAAACTGATAGTTCTCTGTTGCAACCGTTTTTGGTATGGGAGTTGTATGCTACACCAAAGCCATTGTGTGCACTCAAATGTCTTGAACTATCCTGTCTAACCTTCTTTCACAATCAATCTAGTACATGTCAAATGTATTCCATGATTATTGTCAAACAATCTGGGACTGTAACGAACAACTTGGACCTTTATCAAAGACAAGGTAAGAAAATCTTGATTTTTTTAAGTAATGTGTTATCAAATTTTCAGAAATAAATTCGATTTCCGTTAATTAAAATTCATTCATTCATTCTAGTAATATAGTTACAAAAAGATTTATAAGAAACTCCGTACGCATGTCAATTCTAGCGATCTTTTCAGATCACTTATCATCGCATTGGCTAGGGAATGCTCTATTCAAATTCTAGTTATTCATCACAAAACTAAATTGCCCCTGTCATGCCAAAATTACCGATAACACAACAGAGGTGAAAGTATATAGCGTGAGAAATGTTTGTTGTATTTGGGGGGTTCCGTTTGAAATTAAAGAAATTGAACATGAGTTTTGAGTACAAAAAAGACAAATATTGAAGTTACGATTTTGATTAAGTGATAAAAAGTAAACAATCGGGTCAATGGATGTGATATAAATGGACCCCCCTTACCTGTCACGGTAGCAGATTTGCTCAAGTGCTCGTTCTGTCCAGGGGTCAATCCCCCGCACTCTCGAACAAACCTAAGTCGAAAAAATAGGCAGCAACTGCTCCAGTCTCTGTTGAAGTGAAAGTTGTGATTCCTTCAAATGATACTTTCAAAATACCGAGGACCTGTTTTGCAAGAAAAGCTGGCATTTTAAAGATTTCTGCATGCTCGATAACCTTAAGTACCGAATAAAGGTCAACATTTGAAACCCCTTCATCAGTATCCAATAACGTTTTATATAAGTTTAATAAATCTGCAGCGAAATTAATATAAAACATTCATTCAATAACCACCATCACTAAAAGCGCATGTATTAAATGTTTATCAAAGGTGAACCGTTTTAAAATGGAAAATTAATTAAAATCGTCATGCTCAGTATTAAACAGAACCTTTAAATTTTGGGACCAGACCAAAAATCTTCGGTCTTCTTCCACCTACAAAACAGAAGTCAAGCATCGCCAAAGCATATCGGAATAAATAGCCCGATTAATTTTAATTACCATCAGGAGATACATGTAATTAACTCCTCTTTACAATTGAATAGAATAGAAAATTGCAAATGATGGTGTTGTAATATTTAATTTCAATTTGTTCTTGTACTGGAGCGATAAATGGGTTCTAATTCTTGACCAATTTTTTTACGGTATAAAATGATTATAAAAATGTTTATAAAGCTGCATACAATTTGCATGTAAATGTTATTACTGTATAATTCATAGGATCGTGTGAAGATTTCGGATATATCTCTTTACAAACCACGAGCAAGTGTTTGAAGCTTTACCATACAGAGATGTCGTGGATGACAGCCAATAGCACTTGTGCCTCAGCCGGTGGAAAGCTTTTTGGCATAACCACAGCTGACATGTTTGACGATGTTTTAAATGTAACATCTAGAAAAGGTACAAATAGGAGTATATTGATTAACAGACATTTTTTCATCGGAATAAGCTTGATATTGATCAATGTTGCAAATAATTTAAAATTATTTATGTTTAATTGTTGATATTTTCTTCCTATGTACAGATCCCACGTTTCAGAACTTTTTCATTGATGGAAATGATATTGCTTCGGAAAATAACTGGGTATTGTCGGATGGGACTCCCATACTCCATCTACCTTGGGGTAAATTCCAGCCTGGATTAGGGAGAGATGAAAACTGTTTACTTGTAATTGGCAATTTTTACCATGACGCACCATGCTACACAATGGAGTTTAAATTCATCTGCGAGAAACAGTTCATAATATCGTTGTAAAACATTCCAAATCGTTAATGTCCACCTGAATAAATATTTGAATACAAAAGATATTGATGCACCAATAATAGGAAAATACTGAAACAACAAATCATATCTTGAGCACATGTTTCAAGGGTCAATTCTTTCATTATGTTTTATTGATACTATTTTTTGATACTATTAAACATGCATTTGAAGTAGCATGTACATTTTATATAAACACATGGTTGTTAAAAATTACAGAGGTAATAATTATATAACGAGAGACTGTGTAATGATTTTAAATATCTTAAGTTTTATTTAAAGTATAAGTTTTAAAATGTGTTATTGTGCTACATATGTAGCTGTACACTTTAATTCAAACATATGATGAAAATTATTATCAAAATTAATTTGAGAGTTATATCGATTAGAAATTTTGAGTCTTTCTCAGTTTGTGGTCTGAATGCCAGACAGTTTTAATAGTTTGAAGACATAGAATGTTTACTATCCTTAAGTATTGATCGGAGGCTGTAATTCTAACTCCTGTGTGTCCATCACTCACAATTCATTTTATCTACAGGATTTATGATATTGATTCAGTAATCACTGCTTTTTATTCCAATAATCTGTAACTGAAACGATTTTCGGATAACATAAGTTGAAATTAGCTTCATTCCTTAAGTATTTAAGAGAAACATTATATATCGAAAAATTTAACCAGAATCTTTAAAAAATAATTATTTATATTAGAATTTTGAGAAAATTGTTTTTAAAAATTGCGCCAAATGATAGCACTTGTGACGTAAGAGAGGTAAATCTTGTTTACTTCTAGGACAGCTACAAGTCATGTTTTGAAAAAATGGACGTTTATTTGTTTTTACAGTAAGACAATACCAAGTTTTCATTTAATGTGCCATTTTTAATTTAAATATATATCGTAAACAAAACAAACAGTTACTTTAAATCTCAGACTTATAATTTTCTAACGATTCGTTGAAGAAGTTGTAACCCCGGTTCGATCCAAAGTGAAAGTAGAATATTTTTTAGTGTGGGACCTTTTCCAAATACTTGTGATTTAATACGCTTCGTTATCAAATGTTTCAAAACACCAGGACTATTCTTTTTAATGGGTTTTATAAAGCAAGGCATTATGTTTAATCCAACAAAAATAACTCCAGTATATCTCAATCAGAAGAGAGTATTCAAATATTTATTTATAACGGTTGACCAAAAGACAAGCGGATATTTATTTTCTATTAATTCGATATTATACTCATGCAGTTACACTAAATCAACACTTTCCCGGTCCTTCGGATGAGACCTATAAACCGAGGTCCCGTGTCCCTGTAGGTGCTGGCACGAAAAAGATCCCTCCCTGCTCAATAGCTCTAAGTGCCGAGTATAGGAAAAAATTTGCAGCTCTCCACCGGCAAGTGGTGGCGTCTCCATATGAGTGAAATATTCTCGAGAGGGACGTTAAACACTATACAATCAATCAATCAATCAATCAATCAATCTTCAACACTTTCAGGTTATTATACAAGAAAGTTTTGAATACTTTATACAGGCAATATAATAAAAAAAAAAGTACATCAAAAAGAGAACACAAGCTTTAGGCAGGTCTTTTGAACACCTTCAGTTTCTTTATAGATAACAATAAAAGCAAAGTCTTGAGGAAAGTAATACTTTGAAAGGTCAATTTAGACTAAAATTCCTTTTTGGACCTGTTTTATGATGTTTCTGAGAATGGGGCAAAAGTTCCTCACTGCAACCCTGTTATCATCTTTCTACAAAAGGAGTATTGATTCTAAGGAGGTACAAAATGAGCACAAGAAGGTAAAAACAAATATGTATAACGTTGTCAAATATATACTATATTTCGTGCAATAATACAAGATGCATCTTGTGTATAAAATCTCAGAAGTATGACGGTCTTTATCACGACCTTTTTTTTAATATAAATGCAACATAACGTTGAGTAGTATTTTCCAACATTCTGATACCATTTGTTACGTATTTGGTTTATGCTTAATTTGACTACTGAGTACTCAGTAACGTGGAAGCTCAAGTGGGTTTTTTTTTGGCCGGTTGACAAAGAATCCCCCGATGCCCGTAATCCCACCTCTGTTTATCACTAGTTTGTTTAAAAACAGCAAACTATTATTATTTAATAGTTTTCATTTTTACAAAAAAAAAAAAAAGACAAAATTCCAAAATTACTTTGTCTTGTCTTGACGTTTATAAATGGCTTATTCGTCGCAAATATCTTTATGTTTTTATTAAGACAATGTTTGCCTAATGTTGCTTGCGTTCTTTATTTATATCAGATTTTATAGGTCAATAAAACTTCAATTGATGAATTTATTTATTCATTCATCTTAATTAAGACAAACTCATAAACAGGGTAAAGAGACCTATCCATAAAGTACTAGAGATAGAATGAGTTCCCAGGGAGTATTGACTTTTTGCTGGAACATGTGGAAGGTGGTCCTGTATCTTTTTATTTGCTCTGGTATTCGTACTAGAAGTCGAGTAACAGAAATTATCATTCTGGTGACACATCAATTTGCAAAGGAATATTTGCCTATTCATTAAGGAAAATCAAATTTATATTATGTCAAGTTTAAAGTTTGTTTATTTGGATATTATGCATTATCTCATAGCATTAAAAGTGACGACTTACCTGTATACATAATGAATATATAGTTTAGCTGCGTTCAACTTAATACAATTCGTTTTCCTCTAATGGCATCAATCAAAACTTCAATATACAAGTACATCATAAAAATCTATATATTTCAACATTCTGTTTTTGTACTTAGTGGTAGTTTTTACAAACTCAAAGTCAATAAATGTAATGTTTATTATTTTACATTATAATGGAGGCAAATTTTTAAAGTTAGTGCACAGAGCTCGAGGTAATAATGACCAAAAATGAAATAATTGATTGTTATCTTTGCCATATTTGGGTTTTATATTCTATCTTTTAAATCTTTGCATATTTATTTGTGCAATATATATGATATTCGTCAATCCGAGGCCTTTCTGCAATGTCTTGTTTTTCTTACTAAAGGGTAGAAAGAATACAGGAGTGGAGGCTCTCGCTTTTTAATCCTCTGCTACATTCTGGGATCTGATTAGCTAATTTAGTCACAGTTGAAAATAACATTTTCTATGTACGAATGAATTCTTTACAAAGGTATTTTATATTAACTTAGCAATGAACAAAGTTTTTTAATCATTTTGTTTAAGTATCAGTTTTTTGCGTTTAATTCTGCCCATATATGGGCTCATTTGTTAATCACTTCAAAGATCGTGGCTTTTGTTGTGTTTAAGTCATCTTAGTTGATGAATTTAATGAAAGATACACATTATAGATTCACGCTTATAAACGAAATGTTTTTTTTGTAATTGTATTGATGCAAGAGCATGTATGTTTGTGAAATTGTTTCTGAAGTTTTTGTGTTCACAGTTATTCCTGAAGTTATTCATTGTTATATAAAAGTGTTGATACATTCTATGATATATTAAATATGCATACGAATAAATTACAATTTACAAAAAAATATTTAAAATAAAATATTTGCAAATGTCAAGTGCTTAAATGTCTAAGAAAATCAATTCAAGACCATTCAAGTGATAAATTGACATTTTTTTTTTTTTAATTTTTAATCTTATTCTTTATTTCTTTAATTTCTCTCTCTCTTTAAGAATGGTAAAATTAGAAAAGAGATATAAAAATAAGGTTTGCCTCCACTAAATAAAAAAGGCACGAATCTGAAAAAGCTGTAATCTAATTGAAATGGTGAAAGAGTTAAAAATTCTAAGTGTCCAGATGGATAATGTAATGGTTAAATGTATAAGGATTATGTAAGCTCTGAATAGTTATTGTCATTTTAATCGAATTCTTGGAAGCATGTCACTGGACTAGTATGTAACTTTGAAAGACTTTATAAAACACAAAAGTATCCCACTTCAAGTTGTATCGAATCTTCGATTTCAAATAAGATATTTATTTGATGTTAATATAATTGTGTAATTTAAGTAAACAGTATGTAACATACTATGTGGTAAGTGTATGATAATAAAGTTTTCGCACTTTAAATGCTATGAATTTGATTTCTAAAATGTCGAGAACGGTACTTTCAGTGTGCCTTTTCCTTATAATTATAGGTAAGTACAATTCATGTATTTTTATATGAAATATTCAAGCAAATTCCATTTTTAAGAAGGATTTCTACAACAAGATATTAGATTACTTAAAGATTACTTAATTAATTACTTCTCTTGGTATAGAAATTATTTCAATCAAAGATTCAGTTCTCCTTAGCCAATGATTTTTTTTTATTCTCATATATCTAGACGAATGTTAATTTTAAATTCATACACTCCCACTTTAAAAAGGTCAATACAAATTTATCCCCCAAATATAAGGATTAAAATCAATAATTGTCAATTTCTATATAGTCACATTACATGGATTAACTACATCATAGTTTCTGATAATCTAAGAACAAGACATTATTATCTCATAAGTACTTTTGTAAATTTTTAACAGTTAAATTATCTTTTACGTTTTTTTTTTTAAATAATGAACAATTGCAATGTTAATGTCAATATTCACCAGCTGTTATGAATCTTCTCCCTTGTTTCCGTACAATGCTCATCTAGCAAATTTATCAATGAGGTCATATATATAAGATATTTTTTTTACAGCAAGTTCATGTACTCGGCAGTATAATGATATCAAATAGATGAAAGTCAGCGATCTATATATAAAGTCAGATATAAAAGGGGAAACACGAAAACTACGAGGGCCGTTCAAGAATTACGCGGACTGTGCTATTATTTACTCTTACGGACGTCATATACGAGGGGTTATCAAAATGTTCGTGGACTAGCGTCATAAAATTAAAACTGCTTTAGGTACATCAATGAATTTTAAGATATCTAGTTAGCATCATCTTTTCTATCGAAAGAATAAACCATAAATCATGAATTTTATTTTTTAATAAATTAGTAATGTTTTTGTAAGCAATGGTTTGTCCAGGCGGCGCAACCTCGAAAACGACGTTTTTGCGACCTATGTGTAACTGAGAAAAACTCTTTCGATATGATCATTTGACATCCGAAATTCCCGTTAATTCAGGTATGTGTTGGGACAAAATTTTTCCATAGAATATGAAGTTTTCACTTCATTCTGGAAGTTCTATGAAATTTTATCGTAAATTTTACACGGAATGTCCAAACAAATGAGGCCTTGAAAATGACGTCAAAAGGGGGGAGGGGTTTCCGTTTCCAACATCCTATAAAGTTTTACCCCTGAAGAAACTGGTATAGACCTAAAATATGGTGAAACTGGCTAGAGAGAAAAATATGCATCCATTTATTGATTTTTAATGTCAAAATAGATTTAGAGAGAAAAGGAATACAAAGTTAAAGCCGATTTGCAGTCAAGGTGTGAAAAATCAATCGCGCAAAAAAACGACATTGATCAAGAGTTGTAACAACACATTGAACTCCCAAAAGCAAAATATGCCGGCACAATCAAGCGCGTCTCTCCCAATATATTAATCCATTTGGAATATTATATTCATTAAAGACCACTGTTCATGGCATTGTAAAGTCATATAAACAAGGCGGGATTAAGTCCTTACTCAGCTCCAGGGAATCTCATCAAAAAGTATATGAGGTAGAAGAAGCGGACATTTAAAAAACAATGACGTTATCGGACGTCATGAAAACAAACGACGACAGCGCCGGGTGATCATATAATGTCGTTTTCATTTTATAATAATTTTGCAAATAATGAACGTATAAGGCTAAAATTTTAAAAATTTATTTATTTTTTGTTGTTTTATGTTCCACGTAAATTTTGAAGGCACAGACTACATAGTACTAATTTTATAGCTTCAGTCCACGAACTTTTTGATAACCCCTCGTAGTTATGAAACTTCACAGAAATATGTATCTTAAAGATTCCAATGGCCCAAATTTCTGTATTTTAAAGAAATTCTACGAAAATTATCGGTATATTGATATCGCTGATGGAGAGGTACGGAGCACGACAAAAAATTGAAGCAAAAGCATGCGGAATCCAAAATTTAACTTATTAATTTTCTATAATTTGCGATATTTCTCGACAATCCTTAAATGTATCTTTAAATTGTTCTATTATTATGCATTTATACTTCTGACGTGATATTTTAGTACTAACAGAAATATAGTGATTTTTCTCTGATGCGATTCCCGTGAAAACGACTGTGAAAATGACGTCTACTGAATTGACGGCGCAACACACTTTTGTTAAATTATGTGTAATGCTCGAGATATGGCCAATATAGATCCAAAATATGCATAATATAACATGTAATAAACTAGGGTATTCGTGACATTCGTCCACAAATAGCAAATTGAAATTTTAGACCGTTAAACCTCTGTAAAAAGGCTATACGGGAGGACGGGAAGAAGATTATCGACGAAAAACTTTATCTCGACTGTAAAAAACTGATTGTGAGTCACCAATACCACACTATATCTCATAAAAACCTGCAGTTTTTGGTTTTAAAACAAAAAAAAAGAATATTATTTACTTGTTTAATAGATTTTAAGCTTGACAAGAAATGGTGTTTGGATGTTGAGTAGATAAGGCAACTCAAACTGTATAGGTACTCTTGGGAAAATGTTGAGAAAAATGAAAGCTCAATCACATATTTTTTATAAGCCCGTGACGTCGAAGATTTTGCTGCTCCGTGACTTAATGATATGTCCTGAAAAATCACTTAAAATTGATACTAATTTACAACATTTTGATATGAAATTATAGAGCTTGTGGGCAAAAACCTTAAAACTGATCATAGCTATCAATTCTCAAAGTACTTATTCTTAGGTGGCATTATAAAAGGAGGAACCCATACATTTTCAAGATACATGTAATCGTTGAAATATTTCTTAAAATATCACGTTTTTAGTACATTCAAAGCTTGTTGTTTTATATCAATTCCGCTTAATTATACCTTTTTAAACGGGTAAATTCCGGTCCATCGCTTCGAGAGCATCAATCAACAGAGTAAGCTTGCGTACTACCTTTGTTTTTTGCGTATTTTCATATCATTGCGTATCTTGACACAATTAGGCAAATCTCTGACGCTGAGAAATTGAAAGAATCTGATGAACGTTGCAGTTTCATTGACCAAAGTACACACGTGCCTGGTTACTTTTTGTAATTTTTGAAAGCTACAAAGACATTTCACAAGTTTTATCGACCTCTCAACACCTGTAGATTGTCATTTTTCATGATGAAAAATATTGCTTCCGCAAGAATTCTCAGATTTGTTTCATATTGCTTGTAACTGTGAAGTATATTACCGGTAAATAACATAAAAAAATATAGGGAAACAATAAAATTACAGGACATTCTTCCTCTTAATATAATTGCAAATGCTGAAGAGCTACATTGAACCATAACCTTGATATGTAGGCGACTAAATCACTAGCATTTTACCGTCTTGAAAAAATTGTTTATAATTAAAAAGAGAGAATATTGTACTAGTAGAGAAAATATAAAGTAAATGAAAACGATTAGAAAAACTGAAGAACAGTAACGATAAGAAGTAAATAAGTGTTCATCGAATGGGGAATTTCTTTGTTTTAATCGGATGTTTATAATTGTTCTTGTAGGCGATGTCTCTGGTTTATACAGGTCGTTTTTCTTTGACAAAGTGACGATACAACTTTCAGATATTAATCTCCTGCAACCGTTTTTAATATGGGAGACAAGTGCCACATCAAGGCTTTTATGTGCTAAAACATGTTCGAAATTGTCGTGTCTATCCTTTTATATGGATGATCAAACTGGAAATTGTCAGGTGTTTTCTGTTAATATTGAAAACCAATCTGGTAATAAATCAAGTCCATTGGAGCTTTATCAAAGAGAAGGTAAGAAAATTAGAAAGACTAGCTATTTGATAATACATAAATATTTGAGAAAATTGCAGCTTTAAAAGCAACATGCAATCATCCCTGACGATGTGATAGTTGATATACAAGGTATTGTGAAATCACATATTTTCAAGGGGTCAACTTTCGTTGTTTGAGGAAAATATATTGGTTCATGGGGATTTGATAACGTGGTTGAAGAATTTTTCAGTAGTAATATATGTGAAAAATTGCATTTCGTGGTGAACATAATTTCGTGAGTCTCTTCAAACCTTGAAAACCACGACAATTAACCCCCCACAAAAATTAGTAATTTCACAGTAGTTGAAAATAAGTTATGTTTACTTTGCAGGAACTTGTGAGGACTTCGGATATATTTCCTTGCAATCAACAAGGAAATGTTTAAAATTATATGATACCCAAATGACGTGGTTAAAAGCCAATAACACCTGTGCCTCAGCTGGTGGAAAATTATTCGGTATTACGTCATCTGTAATGTTTGATGAGGTTCTAAATGCAACATCTCGAAAAGGTACTATTTCATTACAAAATAGAATTTAGTATATGTAAATTGAACTTATTGAATTAAATAGAATTACAGTTATAGTTTGATTTACTATATTACTTTGGTTTACAACATTAGTTTGATCACTATTAATTTTACTACGTACGAAATATATTTATATTACACAATAAGCGATTGTCTTCCAAAAATATATGAACAAGTCTAGATCGCGAGTTCATTAAATAAATGATGAAATAATTCAATGTTTAAATGTAACAAGAATGTCTTATTTACAAACTGCAAAATAAGATCTTGATAAATGAAAAAAAAATAATGTGAAATTTAGGTGAAATAGTTGTGATTCGAAATCGGTTGAAACATGTCAAGAGGATTTACAATTTGAATTATTGTAATCGAAACCATTAAAACATTTCACTGTTACTTTTATGCTTGTCTAGAAATATATAAATCAATCTGAGTGCTAATTTGACATTGGAATATTATCATCTCTCAGATACAATTATTGCAGTGGACATATAAAAAATAAATTTGGCGTTCTGAAAAGATATTTTACATCAGCTTTGAATCAATACGCCAGTTTCGAGATTGTAACTTTCCTACGATAGAGGCGCGAAAAGTATCCATTTCAGCATGGAGGTGGGACAGGTTGTTTCTGTATACAAACGTGCATACATTAAAGAACGATGTTTATGGCTTTTAAAATTTATTAAATGTTATTGAAATATTAAAATGTTAAGCAGTGATGCATTTGATGATTTTATCAAGCTCAACTATGCATATTTACAAATCTACTATCAATTATAGGGTACTTGAAAACGAAAGAAACGTCGTAGTCTTTATTAAAAGTAACCGATTTTCTTGATTGTACGAACATTTTCCAAAAAGTTAGTGTTTTTTAAGTTGTAATGAGGAAAAGAATCAATATGTCATTAAGATTCCCGACGTGCAATGATCAGATGCATGTGTACAGTATTTATTAGAGGTCCATATCTCTTCCCTCGTCCGAAAAGTCTCACATCCACTGATATTTTCTTTTTTTGTTACGATCTTTTTGCTTTAAAATATGATGCCTTTACTTTAATTCGGTTATTCTCAAGTTGTAGAGTGCTTTCTGACAATCGTGTAGTTATGATAAACCGGTATATCAATGATGCAATGTATCCAATATACACAGTATTAAATATCTGTCCCACCTGTCTGTTTACGCGGCAACTTTTACTCCCCTCCTTTTACACTAGAACTAGAGCGCACCAAGGATATAAATATTCTCAAACTTGCGTATTGGAACATATCCACTACTAATGATTGCTTATAAATGAACCCAATTTTTAAATTCACTACGCTTATATCATTTTTTTTTTACTTTTTCCTAAATAAATTTATGTATGTTAAGTCTTTATTATACATGTACTACGACAGCACCACTAAATATTACTCATACTTTTCTATATTTAGTTAGGTAATTTCTTATGTATGCGTTATTGAATTCCTATGACAACGTTATTTGTATATTTTTTTTATTTCAGACCCGTCGTTTCACATTACCTTGATCGATGGAACAGATATTGATTCAGAAGGAAATTGGGTGTATTCTGATGGATCCCCTCTTCTCTATCATCTGTGGGATACTGGCGAGCCCGATGGTGGAACAGATGAAAACTGTTTATGTATGATTGGTGAATTTTTTCACGACGGACCGTGTGACTCATCCATGGTTAGATTTATTTGTGAGAAACAGTTTACATTATCGCTAAAATAACTTCCTCACTTGGAAATATATGTACATGAGTAAACAAGTGGGACAATTTGTTTGGCTGGTTATAAAATCAATATGTTATGTATTCTTTAAGTCTTGTACATGTATATAAAACGTAAAATAATCTTCTTTCTCTTTTCCATTATATGACTGGCAATATATTATTGTAACAACAAATCCATAAAATAATGATAAGAAACATGCAAATATAGTATTTGCATTTAATTTTATTATTTAAGATTACTGTATTGTGTTTTGAGATAGAACTATCTATCGAAATGTTTATAACCCGAAATTCCTCGAACGGGATCCACTTGCAACTTATGTATACTTTATAAACCAAACAGATAATTCATTTAAACCTGTTATTGAGCAATAAATTTCTGAAGTATTATTTAAACTTGTGTAACCTAAAATCTTTTATCACGTTTCTATCAAAAACTGCATCCTAACCCGTGCATGCGATCTATAGGCAAAATATACTTACCCGATCGAATATTATACGCGGGTAATGATGCGTGTGTAAAACGTCATTTTAGTAACGTAATACAAAAGAACGTCATATATAAACAGCGATCAGCTGATGTTGACAGACAGAACACTTCTCCTCGCATACGGATATGTCACATATCACAACTTTTCGTTTTTGTTAATTCTAGCAATTAGTAGCTGATAAACCCACATTTGGGATAATCTATTTAACAGGATCTTTTATATAAATTATTTATATTCATTGTAGTAACAAATTCAAAATCAAGTTATGGGACCTCCCACAAGTGAATTGATAGTTGCCGCTAGAGCCTGATTACTAAATCATTACTTATCATTAATACTATTCTGTAGAAAGTGATTTATTACAAGAACCAATAAGAGTTTATCTATTAATAAAATTATTTGTACTTTTATTAAAATCTTTATTCTTTGTTCAACAAACAGAATTGGGAGACCCACAGGTTACTTTCACATACGGGTAAAACATCAAGCGGGTGAAACGTAACATGTATTTTTCAAGTCTTATACATGAAAATACAACGTATAAATCTAATCCGTAAGATTTTTCTCCATTTTGAAGCAACTTTACAATTTCATTGATAGAAAAATATATATTCATAGGCGGATAAATACAGAAATTAAAAGATGGAACAGGGTATTCGACTGAAAATTACATATCTAGTAATTACAATTTACTAATTATTCTGTATATAAATAGCAAAGTATACATTCCATGAAAGTAAGCATCTACTGTCGACCAGTCTTTCCCGCCGGCGGGAGATCCTTGTCATTTTTCTTTGCCTAGCAATTAGTATTAAAAAAAACGCCAGTCAACATTAAAAATAGTAGCTTGTATTTGCACCCAGATAGCAAGACTATGTTGGGCCAACATTGGCAAAAGGCTGTACGGTTGGTGTTGGGGTAACGTTTTGGTATATCAATAGTGGCCAACTTTTGTAATTTCAGAATTTCTATTTGGCAACGTTGGTCCAACGTTAGCAACTTCCATGTACTTATACTTCCCAAGGAAGGAGGGATGTATGTTGGCCCAACGTTGGCCCACTGTTTGTAATACACTCTTAAAGAAAGTGTCTTTTAAAGTTGGTAAAAATGTTGGCTTAACGTTGGCCCGATTTTGTAATACACCCTTAAATAAAGTTCTTTTAAAGTTGGTAGTAGTTGTTGATTAACGTTAGCCCATGTTTGTAATACACCCTTAAAAAATTGTCTTTTAAAGTTTGTAGTAGTTGTTGGCCCAACGTTGTTGGTAAAGTTTGTAATACACCCTTAAAGAAAGTGTCTTTTAAAGTTTAGTAGTATGTCATTAATGGCCCAATATTTGTAATACACCCTTAAAGAAAGTGTCTTTTAAAGTTGGTAGTAGTATGTTGGCCCAACGTTGGCCCGATGTTTGTTATACATAAAGAATGCGTCTTATCAAGCTGAAAGTAGTATGTTGGCCTAACGTTTGCCAAATGTTTGTAATACATCCTTAATAAAGTGTCTTATCAAATTGGTAGTAGTATGTTGGCCCAACGTTCGCCCAATGTTTGTTATACACCCTTAAAGAAAGTGTCTTATCAAATGGGTAGTAGTATATTAGCCCATTATTTGTAATACACCCTCAAAAAATGTCTTATCAATTTGGTAGTACATTGTAGTATGTTGGCCCGATGTTAGCAGGATTGTTCTTTTGTTTAGGTGTTATATGTCCATGCTTTTAATTGGATGATTGTTTTTGTTTAGATCTGATATATTCAACATTTTAAATTTTAACTAAAGTGATCACAGCAAGAGTGTTTTATTATATTTTTTGAACTGTGCACATGCATGATTATTTATTTGAAATAAGACACTTGAAATTATGAATTTTTTCATGAGCGTTGTTAGAGAAGACTGAATACGTTCTCAGGAACAGGATGTGAATGAAGCCTACATATACATAAATCAAAATGCCACAGCTTTATAATTAAATTGAAACAAAAGTTAGGCGTTCGCTATCACGTGACCAAACTGTGGAGTTATCTGTCAGATTCAATTGCTCACAGGTGGTGATAATGCAGGGCAAACAAGAAGAAGTGAAATTTAAATTTGTGGATTATACACTTTCTATACAGCTGCATTTAGAAGCGATGTAAGTATATTTAATTATTTATTCTTATTTATTCAGGTTAATTGTTAAAATTGATTCTTGTCATGTTTTTTGCACACAAGCACTGTAAGATAAGGTTAAATAACATCTTTTAAGTTGTTTCTATCTATCTAATTCTTTACTGTCTATTACAGACACGATTGTAACAAAGAAATTCAGTCAGAGACTGCAAGGAAAACAAATGTTGTGGTGGCAAATAACAATGAAATCGAAGACCATGCATAAAGTGTATAAAGTATGAGTACGTATGACAAAGATCAAGATGAAGAAAACGGGAGCCGACGGAGGGACGAAAAAAGAGCGGGAATACAACAAAAGGACTATAATAAAGGAAGTGAGCCCTGATTAAGAACATTTAATTGATAATTTTTCATAATTTACCTCTATTGTCTATTTTAAAATTTATTTGGTAAAATAATTATGATTGAATTGATGTATATAAAATATTATCACAGTGAATCATTAGTAATGTTTTCATTGAACATGTCCATGTATGCATTATGAATGCAGATTGAATTGAGTATTAATTATTTTAAACAGTCATAAAATAGGTTTATGTAAAGAATCACTTAACCAACTGCAAATGTTTCTATGTAATAACTACGTTGGCCCAACAATTTGCCATCTGACTTTGTAAAAAAAAAAAGGGTCAACATTGGGCCAACCTAACCAACCAGTTGTTAAGGTTGGCTGTTAGTTGTCATACAATTATGCCTACGTTGGCCCAACAATATGCCAACATGTTGGACCAACGTTGGGCCGATGAAAAATTACCGTTATAAGGTTACAAAAGTTGGCCAACGTTGGAAATAAAATTGGGCAAACGTTGGCCCAAGTATGTCTTGCTATCTGGGTGTGTAAAAAGTCGTTGTATTTACCGCAGATTTTGCAAAATGATGATTTAAAGTGCAAGTGTTGATATTCTTGCTTTATCGACTTGTTTATCAATAATTTGCCTTAAGAAAGCATGCGTAAAGACCACTTGTGTGTCTGGAAAAAAAATGAACACCGTACGCAGGGAATTTGGTCGTATGGCTATATACATAAAGGAAGTTGAAACATAAATTCAATGTTAAAGTCATCACGTGTACCTTAAACAATTTAGTAAGGTTACCCCTAACATCACTTTTAAGTAAAACTTTATATCCAGATACTGTATATAACTAATATGTCAGATTCTGTGGTATCGTTTTGGTATATCAGTAGTGGTTTTGTAATTACAGTGTTTTATTACAATTTTGTTGTATTATATTCCGATCTGTAGAAGTAACATTGTTCATGATAATGATTCGTAATATTGGTAAAAATTGTTTTGTTTTGGAGGGATTTTATGGAAATAAAGTTCCTTTTAGAGCTTTTTAACTGACTTGATAAAAACATTTAACCCACCATAAAACACATCTTTTTTAATGCTCTGATTTTCGAGAAAATGTGTTGTAAAGTCTATACTGTCATTAACTCTCTAATTTATAATCAATAATGTACCAATCATTTTAAGAGTCAAAAGCAATTTAATTTGAATTGATAATTAGTTAAACGTAAATCAGATAGGTCTCCAATAAAACACATTCAAAAGATATTCTTATGTAATAGGATTTATTGATTCGAGCAAAGAAAGAAATCATGTCAATTCACTAAAGTATCACTTAATAAAAGAGTCAAAATTCTGTATAGGTAATGTTTGTTTTATTTCTATGTTTAAGAAAATCAATCCAGCTGAGGCCTTTGTCACTTCTGATAAATGTTCCAATACATTAATCCCGGTTTAACTTCAATCACCAAAACACACTAATATGATGAAACAGGTGAAGATAGGAAACAGTGATTTAACAATAAAACATGCAAACAACTCAGATATATAAATAAAAGGGTGAAGATCGATCTAAAAAAAGTTATAAATGACATAAATTTGAGTAGGTGGTATAAAACACGGTGCCCTGGAAATTCCAATGGTAGGATCAGGTGACTAGGGGGAGAAGGCATACCCGGATATAACCGCTGTGAGCCCAACTTATTGATCAGGAAGAAGAAACATTCCGTAGTCAAATTCAGTATGAAATCAAAGGCTTAAAATTGATTTTAAACAAAATACGACCAAATGATAGGTTAAATTTGCTAACAGGACCATTATGAGACCACATGATTTTCAAAATTCCGACTTTAAACGAAATCCCATTACCATCAACTTATTTGTCAGTAACTTGTCTCGGTTTAAAAAATTGCTCGTACTCGAACTCTTGTGAATTGAATACTTAGGGAAATGTAAACGCTATTAGAAGGTGAGAATAGGATATCACTACATAATCAAAGAAAGCTGATAATTGAAAAGTTGAATTCATCTCATTTTTCACGCAGTTTTGTTGTTTGTGGACCTTACCGCCTACAATCTAATCAAAATTAGATCCTTTACGCTCCTTTGTTTTGTTACAGCGACATAACAAAAT